GGTTATAATATTTTTTAGTATTATAATTAATATTAAATTTAAACTACTTAAATATTTAATTTAGGGCTTAGTTAAGCTAATTACCAATTTGATGATTAACATCTAAATAATTAATTTGATAATTAATAATAATTAAGCTGATTTCTATTAATATTAATTAATCCTAATAAAACTTATTAAATGTAGTTAAAATTAAAGTCCATAAATAAACCATAATTAAATAACAAATTAGATTCAAAATACATTAAATTTAATTTCTAAATGAACTAATCCTTTTAAATCTTAGATAATTAGATTATTTTGCCAAACAATATCTTAGAATTTATCAAGATTTACATATATCATACCAAACTGATTTTGGAATTTAACACACTCCAGATTTAGTAATCCCAAAATCCAGTCCCATAACGAACAGCCCCGTAACTTCAAAAATATATTTTTTTGTTAATGGACGGGGTTTGACCCTATTTTTACGAAAAAAATAAGAAAGCTAGATTTAAAATAAAAAATTGATAGGTAATTACAGGCTAGTCGTCATTATCAGATTAACGAAAAAATTAGACAGAATTAGACTCAGTAACTATTTCAAATAATTTATAAGTAATACAAATCAGTAATCACCCTTTAATTTCTGTTCCGACAATAAGCATTTTTTCTTTAAGCCCTAAATAAATGAATTTTTAATCTGGGAGCATTCATCATCAATGAAACATAATTCCTAAATTCCAAAAAAAAAAAAAAACATAATTCCATTATTCCAGTCAAGTGATCTTCCTTCTTCCCAAAGTCAAACGAAAACAGACTAACAGACCATTACGAAAGAGATTTATTTTTTTATTCTTCAGCCATGAATGGATACAGCATAGTTATTACAAGCAGAAAGGCGAGAGCAATAGAGAACCAAAACAAACCTAACGCCGCACGACAAGCTCGCCGGAGGGGAGGACGCCTCCAACGCCGGAGGTAGCAATAAGTTGGCCTCGCACCATGAGCGATTTATAGATCTCGAGTATCATTCGCTCATCGTACTCCTTCATGGGCGGCGCTTCGAAGCCCGCGAACATATCACCTCCATATCCGCCGATTGCGCCGGAGCTGGCGAACGCCAGCATCATGCGAACGTACGCGTCACGGATCCGAGCGATGAACCGCTTCGGTGAGAGAACCCGCAGGAAGCGGAGCCTAGGTGATACTCTGAGACGCCAGATTCGCCGTCTTCTTCCCCCACCTAGGACCACCATGCTCCTCACTCTCCGTGCTCCGGGGCCACCTTCGCCGTCCATCCTCCTGTACGCCCTCCGCTTCCAGTACCCCTTCAATCCCCTGTCATACCACGCCATTTTTTGATCTCCTCTCTTCCTTTGCTTCGGTCGAATCGGAGAAATAGGATTAGGTTTTCAGCGGATCTTGCGAGCAAGGATGGCGATCTGGGAATGAAAGGGGGGAGGGACAGAAATGGAGCTGGGCGCGGCACGGCATTTATTATG